TGTTACAGTCAACTGCATGTCAACCTTGCCTATAGCAATTGTCCCTGGTTCAAGTCCTGGTGGCAACAGTCAATTTTCTGCAGACCTTTCTCCCCTTCATCCCCGTGATTAATAGTTATAACAGTACAAAGAATTAGTGACGATATTTTCCACTGATGATGCGCACAAGAAAACGTTCGTTTATAAAAAAAATGGAATAATAAAACGTGTACAAAACCTCATCGTCCCTTTGTTGCTGTTGGTTGAGAGCCCACTAATGACTGTGCATTCAGCCAATTACTTATTTCTATTTTACCAGTACACACATACAGCGCTGGCAACTAAAATCCGACCCCTGATTGGCCTGAGCGGTGCACTCACATCGCAAACACCCAACACGGGATTGTAACACTACGAAATAGAGGCCGCAAGAATGTGAACGCACCGCGGCGCTAAGGGGGTTGGATTTCAGTTTCAACCGTGCGGCAGTGTACGAGTACTAACCAATCATAGTTGTTGATAGCATCCCCGAATCCCGGCGTATCCACAACGGTCAGTCTTAGACGAACACCTTTCTCCTCAATGTCCACCGTTGAAGTTTCCAGCTGCACCGTCTGTTCGATGCGCTCTGGAGAGGATGCATGTGAACAAACGTGTGCAAGACAAACACTCAGCCACCGTGAGAAGAGGCTGCAGTGCATCAACACTCAACGATTCAAGAAAAAGGTGATGAATTGTTTTACAAAACTTGCACATCACCTGTGTGCAATCTCAGACAGAAACAGTGACTTCAGCATGGTATTTTAAACTTCAATCTGACGACAGAACCATGTGGCAACTAAAACAAGACTCGTACATGGGCACATCAGGAGAGAATTCCAATAATTAAAAAACAACCAACAGGTTTCTGCTACTTGTCGAAGCTTCATCAGAGAAAGAAGAAAACCAGCTCAGTAGTGCTTTTAATATAAACTTATAAAGTGGTGGAAGTCTAATGTGAAACAAACCACAGTTGTTGCAGGTGTGGGCCAAGGATGGTGCTAGATTGGACAGGTGTGGGCCAAGGATGGTGCTAGATTGGACAGGTGTGGGCCAAGGATGGTGCTAGATTGGACAAGTTGGGCCAAGGATGGTGCTAGATTGGACAAGTTGGCGTGATACATAGACCCAGTGAAACCCTGATGTATTGAAACAAGCTTAAGCGTTAGTCTGTTAGATGAGCCTGGCGGGTCACGCTGCTCTAGGCTCAGCAAGCCAGGCTGGTGCCGTGTCATAAGGGGTCGTCGCAAAAGTTTTTTGTCGTCCCTGAAACGAACATGATTCATTTGGGGGGGGGGGGGGGGGGGGGGTGCGAGCCAAAATCGCAAGTCGACCGACACTGTACACATGACATGTACATGAATGCGATTTTCGTCGTCCAGCATAGCAAGCTGTGTTCGTTTCAGAGGGAGGGGAGGGGGTCCAAGTACGAAATGAACGATGTTCGTTTCAGGGACGACAGAAAACCTTTGCGACGACCCCTAAAGCCAACTTCGAAGTACAGTAGTCATCCACTGATCTTTAATCCGGCACTTTATAAACCAGCATCCTCTATAAACCAGCATAATTTCAGTAACCAAAATCGCGTCTTCGTGCACAAAAGTAAATTATTATGTCCGTTCCCGAAGGGAACTCACGACGGCCGCTAACACCTGGTAAACCCTAGCGACAGATGCAGCGCCTAACTGTGGGGGCGCCGGAGTGGATAAGTCTCATAACCGCTGGCACAAGTGCCGAGAAACCCCATTAGCTGCATCCATGTACCCCTTGTGCCTGGCCACAAGTTCTCAGCAGTAAATCAGATTTGTTAATCCAGCACCCTCCCTAATCCAGCACCGGCCTCCGTAATCCAGCACCCTCCCTAATCCAGCACCGGCCTCCCTAATCCAGCACCGGCCTCCCTAATCCAGCAGAATGTCCGTACCACAAATGCTGCCAGGTTATAAAGGGACCACTGTGGTACTGAAAATGAGAGGCAGTGAGAGAGGCAGTGAGTTGAGAAGGTGTGCTAGGGTCAGAAAGGAAGTAGTGAAGGAACTCCTGCTCTTTCTCCTCCTCCACTGTGTGCCCATGCTCGATGTACTTCACACACTTCTCCCCCCCCCCCCCCCCAATCTCTCTCTCTCTCTCTCTCTCTCTCTCTCTCTCTCTCTCTTTCTCAGAATCTCTCTCTCTCTCTCTCTCTCTCTCTCTCTCTCTCTCTCTCTCTCTCTCTCTCTCTCTCTCTCTCTCTCTCTCTCTCACGCACACACACACACCACACACACGCACACACACATGCACACACACACACAAACACACACATGCGCGCACACACACACACACACACACACACACACACACACACACACACACACACACACACACACCCTCCTCGCCCCCCCCCCCCTTCTTGCCGACAATGCATGGTAATATGCTGTGCTTTGGTCATCAGTACTGATATCAGCCACAACATGGCTACAGTACTTCACGGAACACGTGCAACTTACCATTAGCATTGGGGATTTCCCTATCGGCATACAAGTCCGTCATGAACAGGCTGTTGACCAGCGTTGATTTTCCCAAACCGCTTTCTCCTGAAAGCAGTGACAAAAACACCATGCAGCGAGGAAATTCATAAGTTGAGCCCATAACAGCAGCAGCACCGAAGTGCGTATTGCTCATGAGTCTGCGCCTGAGTCAGTGAGGAATTATGCGTGGGTGTGTGCATGTGTGTGTGTGTGTGCGTGTTTGTGTGTGTGTGTGTGTGTGTGTGTGTGTGTGTGTGTGTGTGTGTGTGTGTGTGTGTGTGCATGTGTGTGTGCGCGCGCGCGCGCGCGTGTGCTGCGCACACGTCTTTCTTCTTTTTTTCGGCTTGTGATCAGACAGCAGTGCTATGTCTGGTGAGTCTTCAAAGCAAGTGGCTGTGTAGAGTGTGGGTTCCAACCCCCTGTACAATCATCTCAGGGTTCTCACTAGGGCTGAAACGATTATACCGAATACTCGAAATAGAAATCGTTACAAGCTAACCAATCTATTATTTGAAAAGTTCCGATTACTCGATTATGCATACAGTATACATGATCACAGTCGACTCCTGATATAACGAACACCATTGTGCAGGAGAATTAGTTCTTTTTGTCGAAGTTCGTTATAAGGGAATTGCACTCACACCATACAAGCAGCAAGTCATGACTGGCAAGTGGCCCATGACAGAATGAGTGCACTTGGTTTACATGCGGGCCTACAAAATTTGGTTCGTTATAAACGAAAACTGTTCGCTATAAAGGGTCAATTTTGTATGGGTTCAAACAGGGACATGAACAAGGGTTCGCTATATCACGAAATTCGCTATATGCGAGTTTGTTATAAGTGGAGTCGACTTTATATGCGTATGATTGTAGGTCGACCGACGTGCGAGAACAAATTATCTTCTCCACTTAATGGGCCATTCACACTACGCCCAAAACGTGGCGTACGTGACGTTTTCGTCCATATAGCCAAGACAACATGGAACGTGGCGGGAAAATCGTACCCCTGATACGAAAACGTAGACGACGTATCCAGACACCTGTACCGAGGTTCGTTCTGTCGTTCCCGGCAGTTTGTATACAAAAGAAGCTGTGCGCACAGCTGTACGAAAAGCGTATACGTGCCTGTGTGAATGCAGCTACATGAAAACGATGTCTGCCAGTACGTCGTATTCCAAAACGCGACGTGTATTGTAACGTAGTATGAATAGCCTATAAATTCTCAATTTTCGCATTGTTCAGCTTCTAATACTGCTTTTATCTGTGGAAGAAATAATCGAAAAATAACCGATAACCGATCGATAAAGGTTTACCGTTTAGGTTATTCGGTAGCCAAGAAGTGTGATCGTCTCTCCCCTAGTTCTCATGCCACTGGCCACCGATGCATGCAGGTGGTTGCTGCCTGTTCGGTCACACCTTCAAAAGGCTAAAAAGAAGTACGGTGAAGCCTGTGCTTGCCCTATCAATGCTATCATACATTTTCTGCGCCCTTGTTGTACGTGTGTAAGTAAGTATTAGTTAGTCTGGTCATGTGAGCCCACTGATACTAGTGATAGCAACACCCATCATGATAATAATTATTTCACTCTCGGATGTACAGACTGTCAGTCAGTGTAGGGGAACACACAAGATCAACTCTACACCAGTACGCTAGACTGCGGCATTGCCTTACCTACGACCATCAGTGTGAACTCGAAGCCTCGCTTCTGTGCACGCTTGTGTACCTGGCGTGGCAGCTCGGCAAATCCTACCTCAGATGACATTGCTACAGACCGTTGCTATCCACCCAGTGGTGAAGCTATGCTAAACGTGATAGAGGTACGAACAGAATGTCTGGCCTAGCGAACACAAACCCGGGACACCGTAGAAATAGTCAGGTCAATTATTTGTAGGCTTCCGACGTAGCAACAGCAGCTAGCAGCACTCAACGATGCACGCAGCAACTCTCCGTTGTGCCGGGCCGCAGTGCGTCCAGTCTTGACCTCGCAGGTTCAGCAGAGAAAACAAAATTTAATTGTTTGGTCTTGGGTCGCAATGAGCGCTAACGCGTGTGGATGAGCAATGAAGAGAAATATTTGCTACTGACAGTACTGATACAGCGAGACTGGAACTTGTGGAAGATCAACAATACTACTCAAGTGGAACACCTGCTGTAAATAGTTTATCTCCAGCGCACGCGAAGCCGGTAAGATCCAGTTCTCGGGTTGCTCGCTGTGAGCGTGCTCTTGAGAACTGCTAGCGAGCACAAGTGTTGCAGTTCCTCAGATCTCTGTCGATGTCGGAGGTCTCCTGCTTTGGCTCTCGGGCTTGAAATGAAAAAAATCAGTCAGAGAAAAGCAACTGTGAGATTTCTGAACAAAGTCAAGTACATGTACTGATGTAGAGATAGCTCATTCACTGCTCGCTAGAACAGGCAGACAGACAGACACGTGCACTGAGTCTGTCCGTACTGACATGACACGGTGTACCTGGTGTACGTGTGACAGCAAGCACTGACACGACTGCATCTGCAGTACTGGCTGTCTACTTTTAGTCATAGATAGTAGAGCTACATGACTAGAACTAGAACTTCTAGTTCTAGTCATGTAGCTCTACTAGTAGAAGCAGAACAAGCGTGTGACTGCTGTTATCTTTTCTGGAATATCGCTGTGTGGTTGGGATTCCCAGAAGAATCCCCAGAGAGCAAAATGCCAAAATGGGCACCACATCAGCTACATAACTGATTATGCAGTCCATTCATAAAAGACTATATCCTAGCTTTTGGCCGTAAATGTTAGTTGTAGAACGTCAGTACTGTCGGTCAGTGTCGTGCAATGTTATCGCATGAGCTGATTGTTTACTATGTTTAGTAACTGGCCTGAAAAATTCCAGATCCACAAACTCCCTCACATCACACGAGGATCTAGTTGCACTGAGGCAGCTCGCCCAGGATCGTCGAAAGTGGAAGGAACTAATGTGTGCTGTGTGTAGTGGCTGAAGTTATACAATTACACTAGATACTCTTAACAATAATAACGGATACAATTACACTATGTACTCTAACACACTAGATACTCTAGATACTCTAACAATTTTATCAACCATTATGATAATTACCACATCAAATGCTGCGGAGACCTATCCAGAATCGGCAATATGCTGGCCCTGGCCTGGAGATCTGCAACCACAATCAGCTTCTACTTTGCAACATTAACGGATTAGTCCCCTTTTGTCGATTGATGGATCAATCGGTAGATTCGGCTCTGTTTTTCTTTTTCCTCTCTTTCTTGTTTTGAATTGTATGTTGAACTCATTGGATTTCTTTGTATTCTGTATCTCGTTATCGTTATATTTTCCTCTAGCCCTCTCGCTTAGGATGAGCTTTATTTTTTATGGCAGATTAAGCGAAGGCTATAGTTGATGCCAACGCGAACAAGCAAAATAATAATAATAATAATAATAATAATAATAATAATAATAATAATAATAATAATAATAATGTAAAAGAGAAAAGGACATATGGATACGAGTTTAGAGTAACTCTCCATCACTGTAACATGATACTATATACAGTCAGAAAGTGCAATAACTAGGCACAAAACTGACAGAGTACTGAGACATTCTTTTACATTTATTTATGGCTCAACATCCGAGTTTCAAATTGCACACCTGATGAGCCGTCACGAACCATACGGCGAATAATAATAATAATAATTGTTTTACTGGTGGTGTTAGTGGACATTATAGTGTAACTTGTAGTTTATCTTTTATTTTTGGCCATGAATGGGTCAAATTTTGAGTTTTTCCATCATTTTTTGGGCAATCCCTCATGGAATGAATCCTCTTCCAATTATGATTCTGAAGTATTTCTCCAAAAAGCAAGCCATAACAAGAATACCGTAAAATTCAATTAAGCCCCGGGCGTATACTTTGCAGAGCGTCAAAAACCGGGCGTATATTTGGGCATGGGCTTATTTTAGGGCATGGGCGTTATTTCGGACGCAATCTGCAGAAGATCAATCTATCAGCAACCCACTAGTTTCAGTGAACCACCATTCACACCAGGGAGTAGTATACAGTCGTCCCTCTCTAATCCGGCACTTGTTTATCCAGCACCCTTGCAAACCAGCACACTTTCTGGCCAAACCGATTTTTTCAGTTCATTTTCTACGCTTTAATCCGGCACTTGAATTCCGCCTCCAGCAGCGATTTTCTGCAACAAATCACTCAAACTGTACATAATTCGATTTTCTAATCCAGCAGTTGTACATCGCATACCGTCAGGGAGCATTGCAACATACACAACACATGTAACATACACTTGGGAATATCTTATGCCAGTGCATAGGATATTCCCAAGTGTATGTTAAAGACATGCATTCCACAAAGTACTTGGCTTGACACAGAAAATCTCTACGTTTTGACGTACGACACAAACATGCATGTTAACAGGTGGGCCGGGTTGGAGGGCAGGATTTGATAATCCAGCACCCTTGTTTATCCAGCAGAAAATGCCGTTGCAAAAGGTGCCGGATTAGAGAGGGACGACTGTAATACATGATTGTATATTACGTACAGTGCTGGCAACTGAAATCCTACCCCCTGGGTGGCGCGCCACGCTGCCAGGGGGTCGGATTTCAGTTGTCAGCACTGTAGTATACTACTCCGTGATTCACACTGAGCGCGGTACACGTACATCAAACCACAGCTGGAAATTTGGTCGTAACCAAGAATGTAGCGATAAATTACAGATTTGATACGTAAACCACTTGCTATGGTAAGTACAAGGCACAACACTCAACAGGTACTGGCATGGCTACAGTTTGTACGCGAACGCACGCGAAAGCGCTGGTCATTTTGAGTCCACTTTACGCCCTGGGCTTATTTCGGGCATGGGTGCTAAAACGGACTTGAAGTGTACACCGCCTAAAACTGGGCTTATTATCGGACATGGGCGTTATTTAGGGTGGGCTTATTTACGGAATTTTACGGTAGGATATCGGCCAGGTTTTGCCCCCAAAAACACTGGGAAAAACCATGAAAATCCAGGCTGTTCCCACCACTTTGTTTTAGTCAACTCGTTACTTGATCACACCAGCCAACACGCAGAGCGTTTTCCTAACCCTTCTGGATTTATACAGCCGATATCCTGCAGTTGTACGTTTACCAGTAAGGATGGCCACATCATGCGAATTATTTTGTCCAAAATTGAAATTCAAAAAGCGAAAAAAACGGTCAAAATGTTTAAAGAAAATTCAAAAAATCCCCCAAAATGCAGAAAAAATTCGATCCGTTGCCATGGTTTTTACAGAACTCGTACCCAATAGTTCCAAAAAACAAAAAAAATCCACAAACTGCTTATCATGTGTGTCTGTGTGCTTCCAAATTCGGGGATGGGTGTCAAAAGGTCAAAGGTGTGTGTATTTGAAAGTACTGTTTTCACATGTCAAACTTGGTAATATTATTATTATTATTAGACACAATCTCATAGCATGTGACAAGCATAGCTAATGCAGGGACAGAATCCCCTGAGACAAGGGCGTTGAGCCAGCCACGGCAATAGTAAGCTAGGAAAACAAAGCAAATATGAATTAGAGCAGAAAATGAATGGAAAATTACAAAGAAAAACGATTAACGGACGTGAGCACTATCAAAATTCGTGCATCACCCAGGTATTCGAGAATGTTCTTCGATGATACTTATTGCGTCTAGTTCAGTTGTGATAGTAGATCTTTAAACTGACCAATAGAAGAACAAGTTTTCAGACCGTATGGTAATGATAACCAATGAGAGTAGCCGGAAAACAAAGGGGACTTTAGATACTGGGCTGACTTAACAAGAGGCAGGATGAGCGCGTTACGGGTTGAGCTTGTCGAAAACCAATTGTACTTCATCATGTGTGAAGGGGTTTTATGAAGAAATATTTTATGAACCAGTGTACAGAGATGGTGCTCATGACGAACGGAGAGAGGAGAAGTGTGTGCAAGTCGATAAAGGGCATCCGAAGGAAAACATCGATCCTTGTTGTAAAGAATTTTAAGTATAAATCTATGGTGGACTTCTAATTGGTTCAGAGTTGTGTCAGAAAGGCCACACCAAGCGGTATCGCAATAGTCGAATATAGGGAGAATATAGCACTGATAAAATAATAGTTTACACTGGATGGGCAAATGAGTGCAATGTGGTTGTAGTACCCCTCTAATGCTGAACTGGTTCGCTTGCATACACAGTTGACATGTGCAGCCCAAGAGAGTTTGCAGTCAAACATCACACCTAGATGTTTGTGCTGAGTAACAACACGGATAGGCATAGTCGAGTCAGGGAAGTATAATGGTTGATCAGGAGGGGATGAAGAAATATACATGGCTATATTGAGCAGCACATGTACTCTCCTGATGTGACATCACTGTCGTTCTCCAAAAACGGCCAAAATTCAATCCTGATGGGGCCAAAATTCAAAAAAAAATCAAAGTGCGAAATCCAACCAAAATTCAAAAATAATTGAAAACATTTTGTGGACAAGCCTATTTACCAGCCGAGAAGACAAGTGACCTCATCGGGGCACTGGACCAAATATTCACTACATCATGAATCATACACATTATTAGATACAGTTCAGTGGGACTACCACAACTTGCATAACAGTATATTGTGCAGTTCGAACCAGGGAGTAGTACAATACCATTGTACTACTCCCTGGTTCGAACCCCAGTTGAGATGCCTTAATTTTGGACCCTTTTTCAAGTTTCAAGTCTCGTGGCTCTGCACCGTGCACGACAAAATCACGAAAAAACACCAAAATAAGGGAGCTTGCCAGAGCCAGCGCTCACCTTTTTCTGAATGGACTGTAGGCATGGCATGTGACATGGTCGGTGTCTGGGCTGTACTATAGCTATTGTAGGTGTTACTCCTACCAAGAGTCCATAACCCCCAGATACTAAGCTACAACACGCGGAGGGGGGGGGGGGGGATACACCAACCCTGTACAATGTAGAAGCCGCCCCGCACCCTAGAAAGCCACCCAGCACCTAAACAGGCAGGGAAAGGGGACCCCGGACAGGCGGCCCACCATTCGCCGTAAGTGGGGGTCCAAGGGAAAAAAATAGTGCCACCCTGAAACAGCGGATCAGGCGGGTGTTATGCTCTCAAAGGTGAGGGTGATGCCTGGTGCATGATGGTGACTGTTGCAGTCCCCTGTTGTTGTACGACCAACCGTTCACCTGCAGACGGGTCGACATCAACGAAGTCGCCACACCGGTAGTTTTGCTCAGCGCCTCCAACACGCATGTGCTGACTCCGGAGAATCAGCCCCGCTTCTGAGGCATTGCCCACTGGCAGCCAGCCACTACCTGCAGTGCATTTCCCGCTCAGCAAGATGCGGTAGAGTCCGGCGATTTCAATGATGATGCTAGTGAGGGTTGTCCCACCCATTTCACGCATTGGGACAGCACCCCAATGGGGTACCCCTGTTCCTGTTTGGGACGTGTCCTGCTGCACGTACACAGCCGGCGTCGCGGGATATTTGCCTGCCTCTCGTTTTTCTCACGTCGCCTATTGCGTTCCGTAACAATTAGGGCCGGGAGGCTGGTATGAACTACAGTAGTCAGGGGCCCGGTTTCTGGACTCACACCACAATGAACTAAGGGCCAGGTCATACAATGCACCGGTGCACGTGTCATGTAATGAGTGCATCACTGCATGTACATAGCACACAACACGTAGACTGGCTTGAGTGCATCACTGCATGTACATAGCACACAACACGTAGACTGGCTTGAGTGCATCACTGCATGTACATAGCACACAGCACGTAGACTGGCTTGAGTGAATCACTGCATGTACATACGTAGCACACAACACGTAGACTGGCTTGAGCAAAGTGTCTTGGTGAAAACCATGCAGAAAGCTGGGCAAAACACGAGCACATACCCATCTTTCACACAAACACAAAAATACGCACATGCACGCAAGCACATGCATGCATACAAGCACCATTGGACCATTGGACGCCCATCGTCGGAGGCGATGATAGCGATGCTACAGCAGAAGCCATGGCAACTTGTGCTGGGATTGCACCATTCAACAGCTTGCAAGGCTGAAGAATTGGCCGCCACTATTCAGCCTGGTCTACACCACACAGCTATGAAGTGGCTTTTTCTGGCCAGTGAATCCCTACTTTTTGGTCTTTTTTATTTTACAAGCACACACACACACACACCCACCCACCCACCCACACACACACACACACACACACACACACTACTACTACTATGTACAACTGCCACAAAATGGCCACGTCGCTCCCAGAAGCGGGAGACAACAGCGAGAAAGGAAAAAGAAACAAGGAGAATAATTGAGGTGAGAGGGGACCGTTCTACACATAGCTAGTGTTTCTGTCTTCGGTGGCGGGTGAGGCCCTGCGGGCGGGAGAATCGTTCGTTACATAGGCTGCATTGAATGGGCAGATTAGTCCTCTGGTCCTTTCGCAGTCGTTTGCCTCGAGTACAATTATGGCGGTTAAAACCAGCCTGACTCTTCATGCAACGATCACAGGTCGAGCAATGGTGCTGGCAGCAGTCCAAATTCAGGCTGCATCTCGTTGAAATAGCTGGTATTTCGTCCGATGTCTGACGCTCCACACAACGATGAACTGCAAAACCGCCAGCGTTTTGAAACCAGCGGTCACAAACTCCACAGTGACGGGCCCCAGGCTGCTGGGCAACAGGTAAGGACCGTACAGCTGAGCACTTGTGACGGTGAATCCCACGAGCAGTGAATGATCGGTTGCAAACCTTGCAGGTGACTTTGTTGTTGTTGCACTCCACGAGATCATCCGGAGTCTTTGCAATTGCCTCCCGCCATGCTGGGCGATCCTGAGCCAAAGTGAGCCAATTCACTATGCCACCGAAACGAAGATCACGTGCGACGAGGTCTTTCCATCGCAGTCGTGGCCCACAGGCTGGGCGTGGATCTGAGAAGAAGCTAAACAGTATCAGCTTCGGAAGCCGGTTATCTGGCATTCTGGCGACATGCCCAAGCCACTGCAGACGGCGGTGTCTGACGGTATCAGATGGCAGTGCCATATCACCCCAGCGTCTTCGCAGCTCCTGGTTGTTGACATGCTGCAGCTGTTGATCGAGCCGGGATACACCCAGAATGAACCTGTAGGGAGCGGTGGTGGAAGTTGTTGATGGCAACCATGTCTCTCTTCAGCGGAGTCCAGCACTCACAGGCATAGAGCAATGTGGACAGAACGCAAACATCGTGAAGATGGCGCTTGGTGGCGATGGAAAGGTTTCGGTCAAGAAAGACACGGCGCATAAGGTCGAAAGCTGCCGCTGCCTTACCGAGTCTTCTGGCCACATCTGCAGATGAGCGGGTGTCAGCAGTTATCACAGAGCCAAGATACACATAGGATTTGACACTTTCGATCTCCTCCGGCCCAACAAAGAGCGGAAGGCGGTCAGCACATGATAAATTTGCACCAACGGCCATGAACTTGGTCTTCGCTGTACTCAGAGTCAAGCCGAAGGAAGAAGCAACGTTGCTGAACAGCTCTAAAGCCAGTTGAGCTGACTCACGGGATGGTGCAAGTAGTGCTGCATCATCTGCAAACTCCAGGTCGTTGACCGATGTCGTGCCAGTTTGACGGGTTCGCTTGGGAAATAGATTGCCACTTCCATGGATTGAAGATATCAGGGACACACCGTTAACACCAGCTGCTGCTATAGCTGAACGCCATGCTTCCAACACACACACACACACACACACACACACACACACACACACACACACACACACACACACACACACGCGCACACGCACACACACACACACACACACACACACACACACGCACAGACAGGCACGCACATGCATACAAGCACGCACAAACATGCACAAACACCACACACCCACCGCCACGCACTAGCAGACGTTAGCAATACATTTCTGTGGGCACTCACTCCTGCCCAGGGCAGAATGAATCTCGACATTATTTTTGGGGAGACTGCAATATTAGTATGCGGCATGACGCAAGCTTTCAAAATGACTAGAACCATACACAAAGAAAACATGCATGATAACAGAAATAGCCAAACATGAGTCGAATGTCAAAAGTTCCTGGGTTGATGAACACAAGTCTCACATTAAAATACTGTTAGAAAAACTGTTAGAAAAAAATAGAAGAATACAATTAAATAATCAAATGGAGAAAATAATAATAACAACACGGCACAAAGTGCGACAGTGAGTAGGGTTGGCATGGTGCCAGCTCCGTAGCCATGGTGAGAATGGCACTCTTCGTTCTCAAGTTCTTGAACTAGGATCAGGATCCTGAGGATGCCGTGGGAAATTCGTAATGCCAGATCATCATCATGCTATCGATGACATCATCATCTTAGGGTCAACGTTTACATGATGTCATCACTATCAGCAGAGCTTCTGTGATCAGGCGCGGTGGCAGTGCGATCGCATGACAGCATACTAGGACCTTCAAGAGGGTGAGTCATTGGTGACATCATAGCTCTGACACTGTAGAGCACATGATGACATATCGGCACAGTGACCATGATGTCATGTGACAGTGTTTTCAGGGCAGCAATGATGTCATCGGTCTGATTGTGGCGAGGATATTGTTGCAGGATGCGTGGAGAGATGGATAGAGACAATGGCATGTTTGGTTAGAGCGTGATGCTGCTAGCATGCCTGCAAACATAGAGGAAGAGGAAACCATCACCGTGTTTGCCGGAGTATAGTGCGGACTTTAGATGCGCTATTTCAGCAGCCATAAATCCTCGGACTCAGCCTTTATTATATACGCATGTCAACACTAAAACCAGGTGTATGTGTTGCCAGTGCATCTTGAAAATCAGGCTTGTATTCGAAACAGGCTTCTATGAGACAGGCCTTAAATAAAGACACTACGGTAGTCCTACTACAGATCACAGAGACCAGCTACTCCTACAGTATTACTATGACATCATTGCATACCATTGCATGACATCATTGCTCACCATTGCATGACATCATTGGCAGGGGATTCATTGCCTACCATTAGAGAGTTTTCGCACGGTGTGCAACGCGCTTACTTGACGCGCTCGAGGGTCACGTGCGACGTTCGACAGCAAGGCCAACGTGCGTTGGCAACGTGGAAACCGGTCTCATCACGTTGGCGATTGACGGCCCTGCACGCGCGATCTACGGAAGGTTCTAACGGCTAACCGAAGAAGGTTGAGGTGGGTTTTGAGGGCTAAGCCTGATTTTTTGCTATAATTGGTAAAACCGGGCAAGACGAGATTTTGATGAGAAGCGCGGATCGGATCAAGCTGAATGCCTGAAAGGACGAAGTGGAAGAGGTGAAAAATTTCAGATACAGATCTACTCTCCCATGATCTGTACAACAGTCAACAGTGAACTAGTGAACTGTTGTTCAGTGCTTAGAGTTTTGTCGCCATATCGCTTTCCTTCAGAGATGATTCGGATAACACAATCAGTGCAGCAATACAAGCCACTCCCGGATCGACTTCTGCTTCATCTTTCTGGTTTGGTCCATTCACGCAGTTGCAACGCAACACACAAATCCGTCCGGGTAAACCTAAAGCTATTTTAGCACTGTACTGATCAAAGTCTTGAGATCTAGACGGTCGCCATAGGTTTTGCTCTCGGCTTCAAGTTAGTTCATCATCCTCTTCAAGAGCATTCTTGTCTAAACGATTATTCCTTCAAAGCATGCCATCATGGCATCAACACGGCATATGTGAGTCAGCTTCCATGCCGAAAGCAACAAAGCCGGTGGAACGATATATGTACTTGAGTATGTGCAAAGGGGCTAAGACAGAAAACGGCCCAGACCATCGCACGGACATGCTTCTTGAACGTAGTAGTCTCCCTGCAGCACAGAGCAAGAAGAAGCAGGGAGTCGTACTCCTATCCATAGGCCCTGTAGTGTAGAAGGGATCACGGACTGCACAGATTTTGCATTCTGGATGCACGCAAAACCTGTAACTCGATGAGCGCGTTTGGTGTGTGTTGCGCTTGCAGGTTTACCTGCTGCGAAAGCTCTTTTCATGCGCGTCACGCACGTGTACAGCCTCGCGTTCGGCCTTGCCATGTTGCACGCCGTGCGAAACGTCTCTATTGTACTTCAAGTATGACATCATTGCCTACCATTGTACACATGTATGACATCATTGCCTACCATGGTATACATGTATGATATCATTGCATACCGTTGTATGACATCATTGCCTACCATTCCATGACATCATTGCATTGCAGGAGATCCTGTTCCAGAGTCGTCTAGCCGTGACAGCTCATCCAGCATGTCCTGCAAATTCACTGGCTGGCGAATTTCACCTGAACACAAGTTGAATGGTCCACAAAATACCAAAGAAGTCAAGCTACATACACTGTACAAGATTCTACTTTGGTGGATAAACCTTGGTTTGTTGAAACATGTTGTTGCTTGACAGCATGTAACAAGGTGGAGACCACCGTGTTCGGAAACAGTGACCTCGGATGTTGTAGTAAGGTCACTGTTTCCGAACACGGTGGTCTCCACCTCGTTACATGCTGTCAAGCTACATACAAGATTCTACTTGGTATTATATAACCTAATACTAGTATTAGATAAACCTTGTTTCATGCTGTCAATCTAACAATAAGATTCTACTTCTGTAGTTCAGTAGAGCCTTGCTGACATGAAATATCCAGAGCAACGGCAGAACTGATGCGTTCATTTCACATTGCACCCAGACTACATAAGCTAGAGTGTTCACATACTAGTACAACGGAGGCGAATGACTGTGCAGCTGTCTGTGCATCGGGCACTCTGCTTCCAGCTGCCGCAACAGGTCTTTGTTTAACCTGGAGTGTTCAAACTCGCTATGCGTTCATGACAGTGCAAGTTGTCGCCAACGCCATTTTCATGAGCCGTTAAAGCCGCGAACCAGGACACCAGTTTTGTGCTGCATCGGTGCGACCGACCTGTGGCATCAGTCAAGATTGTCTGACGCGAACGACGGATCGAGCTTTTCCCAAAGTTGAGATGTGACAGTAAGGTGCAGTGTGCAGTGTGCAGTATAATGCAGTGTGCAGTGTGCAGTGTGCACGTGCACTTGACTAACTAAAAGAACTAGAGGCACAGGGGTTTTAACTTTTAAAGGCAAGCACACAAGGTCTCCCGTCGCTCAGTTACTCAGGAAATTGGCATTCTGAGTGCTCAGTTTCTCACCTTCTTCGGCTAATTGTGGCACCTCATCTCCACTGGGCGCGGTCAGCTGTGATTTGGCACCCATGGTAGGGGAGGCCCTCTGTGAGATCTTGCCAAACAGCTTCTTGCTAGCGCCTTTGAGCGGCTTGGCCATCTATGCAGTTGTTCAACGAAAAGACAAACACACGCACACAAAAGCATCGTTTCAACTTGAAGCATGCACATGCACACACATGCACGCACGCACACACACCTGCACACTATAGTTGGCAATTTGCCAGGAAATTCCCCGTGAGTTTTGGCCACGCTGTTTTCCAGTACGCACATAACAGTATAGTATAGCATCAGGAGGGGAGAGAACGACACTAGGTACGGCAAAGAGGCCAGGAGCAGCGGCGGATTAAGCGATCTCTACAGGGGGGTTCCAGTAGTCAAAACTGAATAGCTGATACATGTACATGGACACGCATATGGCTGCCAGTAGTGCATTTACGAAATTTAGGGGTTCCGTGGAACCCCTGGAACCTCTCCTGGATCCGCCCCTGAGGAGGGAGAAACATTACAACTTCTCACTATGTACCTTTGTTCCGAGTAGTGTTGCTCTATCGGACTTGTCAGAGCGTTCCTCTTGCTGCGATGAGCTATTGGAGATGCGCAACTTCTGCTTGATAGCCTGTGGAAATAGCAGAATACATGTACATGTAGATTGCAACTCACCTAGGGCATGTTCGATTGGTTGGATCCGGGTCCAGATCGATTGAGTGGATCCGTTGGATCCACCAAGGCCAATCAAACGCTGCCCTGGATCGAATCTGGAATTTTAGTGATTTTGAGGGTTTCCATGAGAGAAAACAACGATTTCCGCATCATCGCTTATATTCCCGCATTTGCACACGTATCATGTACAGAGTACGATTTTTGGCAAAAAAGAATCCGGTGGATCTGGTCAACCCCGCTCACAGAGTAGGGTTGATCGGATCCAATTTCCGTCACCCTTGAGATTTCCATGATACGCATCTACCCAGTATTTGTCTTTGGAAAATCAATACAATAAAATGAAATGAAACGAAAACATGGATGGCTTACCTGTGGCACGATAACAATCTTGACCTCGTGTTTGATCTGCATGAGCAGGTCATGATACGTGAAGGTACGATTGTGATACTCTATCGTTGGCAGTGTCAGCACAGCATCCTCCAACTCCAGCCAAGTGCCGTCATCCTACACACACACACACACACACACATACACACACACGGGGGTATTAGTACAGGGCAAGCAGAAAAAAGAACATCCCGTGAAACACTACTCAGTCTGAACACGCACACACGCATACGTACACACACACACACGCGCACCCCCCCCCCACACACAAACACACATGCTCACTCACACACACACCTTGACCTTGACCTTGATACACGTTGCCTTGATAGGTTACCGGTCCCCGTCAGGGGAGAGGGGTGGAAGAGGCTGAGGAGCAGCACTTCTGATGGCGTACTAGATGGTGACGTAGTCGGAACTTCCTTTGGCAAGGGCACTCAAACGGGAAGTCGGCCCTTTCCGACACTGTCCTTCGTTTCGCGCGGTCGCACTTGTGTCTGGCCAAGCCGCTGCTGGACTTGAAACTCCGGTGACAGGTGCTGCACTGCGGAGTGACCGGGTTGCCGGGGTGCTCGATGTTGGGAGCAGGTCCGTGATCGCACCGATGGGTAGCCAATCCACCGGGGCTGTGGAACCAACGTTGGCAGAGACGACACTGGCAAGCGCCAGCCTGATCACACGCCGGTTTCTGCCGTTCTGCCAAGCATTCGTGACGCTTCTCATCTGATGGGCGAGAGAAGTACCGATCACATACTTGGCAATGGACATTGGGTATGGGCGGTTCGGGCTCGAAACAGCGGTACATGCGGCGCCAGTCGGGGCGAGAATCAGCCAGATCGTACCATCCCTCCACAGCATTCAGGGCCTTCAGGTCTGCACTAATGCAGTCTTTCCAGCGTTTGCGAGGACCGCCAGGTGGACGGCGGGATGGGAGCAGACCGAACAACAGAATCTTCGGGATGCGCTCTGGTGGCATGCGAGCAACATGACCCAGTCACTCAAGTCGTCGCTGGCGAATCCGGACAGCGAGTGGGCGCTTGTCGCCCCACATTTCCAGCAACTGATCATTGTTGATCCGCTCTTGCCAGGCGTCTAACCTTGTTATGCCAAGAACGGTACGCAGACACTGCATGTAGAACGTGGAGAGCCTCCGGATGTCGGCTTGGAGGGGTACCCAGCACTCAGCTCCGTACAGCAGGATGGTGACAACGCACGCATTGAAGATATTCTTCTTGGTGCGGACGGACAGGTGGTGGTTGCTGAAAACTGGCTTCCGCAGGGAGCCAAACGCATGGGAGGCAGCCGCAATTCTGGAGGAAATGTCAATCGAACACCGGCCAGACGTATCGATGATCGACCCAAGGTAGCGAAACTCCGTTATGCACTCGATCTGGTTCGAACCAACACAAACAGGGGCGAGGTCCGCATCGGAAATGTCTCTGCCGATCACCATGAACTTGGCCTTGCACACACACACACACACGCACGCACCCCCCCCCCCCCCCACACACACACTCTCTCTCCCTCAGTCTCTCTCAATGGTCTCTCTGCTGCAAAATACTCCTCTTCTGACAACAAATTTCAGGGCTCCACCCATCCCCAGAGTGTAGAATCAAAACTTCGTGGGGGGTAGTGTTTCCGACTGACATTGGCACGCTTCAGTCAACATGTACTACACCAGTGACTAGTGAGGAGTGGTTTGGAGGATACTACTGTCACTAGTACCCTCACACTGACCACTGAAAGGTCAGGGATAGCTGGGCAGGGTGCTGAGGGTGCTGGAACAAACACTGATGAGCACAGTGGCTGGGCAGGGTGCCGAGGGTGCTGGAACAAACACTGATGAGCACAGTGGCTGGGCAGGGTGCCGAGGGTGCTGGAACAAACACTGATGAGCACAGTGGCTGGGCAGGGTGCCGAGGGTGCTGGAACAAACACTGATGAGCACAGTGGCTGGGCAGGGTGCCGAGGGTGCTGGAACAAACACTGATGAGCACAGTGGCTGGGCAGGGTGCCGAGGGTGCTGGAACAAACACTGATGAGCACAGTGGCTGGGCAGGGTGCCGAGGGTGCTGGAACAAACACTGATGAGCACAGTGGCTGGGCAGGGTGCCGAGGGTGCTGGAACAAACACTGATGAGCACAGTGGCTGGGCAGGGTGCCGAGGGTGCTGGAACAAACACTGATGAGCACAGTGGCTGGGCAGGGTGCCGAGGGTGCTGGAACAAACACTGATGAGCACAGTGGCTGGGCAGGGTGCCGAGGGTGCTGGAACAAACACTGATGAGCACAGTGGCTGGGCAGGGTGCCGAGGGTGCTGGAACAAACACTGATGAGCACAGTGGCTGGGCAGGGTGCCGAGGGTGCTGGAACAAACACTGATGAGCACAGTGGCTGGGCAGGGTGTCGAGGGTGCTGGAACAAACACTGATGAGCACAGTGGCTGGGCAGGGTGCCGAGGGTGCTGGAACAAACACTGATGAGCACAGTGGCTGGGCAGGGTGCCGAGGGTGCTGGAACAAACACTGATGAGCACAGTGGCTGGGCAGGGTGCCGAGGGTGCTGGAACAAACACTGATGAGCACAGTGGCTGGGCAGGGTGTCGAGGGTGCTGGAACAAACACTGATGAGCACAGTGGCTGGGCAGGGTGTCGAGGGTGCTGGAACAAACACTGATGAGCACAGTGGCTGGGCAGGGTGCCGAGGGTGCTGGAACAAACACTGATGAGCACAGTGGCTGGGCAGGGTGTCGAGGGTGCTGGAACAAACACTGATGAGCACAGTGGCTGGGCAGGGTGCCGAGGGTGCTGGAACAAACACTGATGAGCACAGTGGCTGGGCAGGGTGCCGAGGGTGCTGGAACAAACACTGATGAGCACAGTGGCTGGGCAGGGTGCCGAGGGTGCTGGAACAAACACTGATGAGCACAGTGGCTGGGCAGGGTGCCGAGGGTGCTGGAACAAACACTGATGAGCACAGTGGCTGGGCAGGGTGTCGAGGGTGCTGGAACAAACACTGATGAGCACAGTGGCTGGGCAGGGTGCCGAGGGTGCTGGAACAAACACTGATGAGCACAGTGGCTGGGCAGGGTGCCGAGGGTGCTGGAACAAACACTGATGAGCACAGTGGCTGGGCAGGGTGTCGAGGGTGCTGGAACAAACACTGATGAGCACAGTGGCTGGGCAGGGTGTCGAGGGTGCTGGAACAAACACTGATGAGCACAGTGGCTGGGCAGGGTGTCGAGGGTGCTGGAACAAACACTGATGAGCACAGTGGCTGGGCAGGGTGTCGAGGGTGCTGGAACAAACACTGATGAGCACAGTGGCTGGGCAGGGTGTCGAGGGTGCTGGAACAAACACTGATGAGCACAGTGGCTGGGCAGGGTGCCGAGGGTGCTGGAACAAACACTGATGAGCACAGTGGCTGGGCAGGGTGTCGAGGGTGCTGGAACAAACACTGATGAGCACAGTGGCTGGGCAGGGTGCCGAGGGTGCTGGAACAAACACTGATGAGCACAGTGGCTGGGCAGGGTGCCGAGGGTGCTGGAACAAACACTGATGAGCACAGTGGCTGGGCAGGGTGCCGAGGGTGCTGGAACAAACACTGATGAGCACAGTGGCTGGGCAGGGTGCCGAGGGTGCTGGAACAAACACTGATGAGCACAGTGGCTGGGCAGGGTGTCGAGGGTGCTGGAACAAACACTGATGAGCACAGTGGCTGGGCAGGGTGCCGAGGGTGCTGGAACAAACACTGATGAGCACAGTGGCTGGGCAGGGTGCCGAGGGTGCTGGAACAAACACTGATGAGCACAGTGGCTGGGCAGGGTGTCGAGGGTGCTGGAACAAACACTGATGAGCACAGTGGCTGGGCAGGGTGTCGAGGGTGCTGGAACAAACACTGATGAGCACAGTGGCTGGGCAGGGTGTCGAGGGTGCTGGAACAAACACTGATGAGCACAGTGGCTGGGCAGGGTGTCGAGGGTGCTGGAACAAACACTGATGAGCACAGTGGCTGGGCAGGGTGTCGAGGGTGCTGGAACAAACACTGATGAGCACAGTGGCTGGGCAGGGTGCCGAGGGTGCTGGAACAAACACTGATGAGCACAGTGGCTGGGCAGGGTGTCGAGGGTGCTGGAACAAACACTGATGAGCACAGTGGCTGGGCAGGGTGTCGAGGGTGCTGGAACAAACACTGATGAGCACAGTGGCTGGGCAGGGTGTCGAGGGTGCTGGAACAAACACTGATGAGCACAGTGGCTGGGCAGGGTGTCGAGGGTGCTGGAACAAACACTGATGAGCACAGTGGCTGGGCAGGGTGTCGAGGGTGCTGGAACAAACACTGATGAGCACAGTGGCTGGGCAGGGTGTCGAGGGTGCTGGAACAAACACTGATGAGCACAGTGGCTGGGCAGGGTGTCGAGGGTGCTGGAACAAACACTGATGAGCACAGTGGCTGGGCAGGGTGTCGAGGGTGCTGGAACAAACACTGATGAGCACAGTGGCTGGGCAGGGTGTCGAGGGTGCTGGAACAAACACTGATGAGCACAGTGGCTGGGCAGGGTGTCGAGGGTGCTGGAACAAACACTGATGAGCACAGTGGCTGGGCAGGGTGTCGAGGGTGCTGGAACAAACACTGATGAGCACAGTGGCTGGGCAGGGTGTCGAGGGTGCTGGAACAAACACTGATGAGCACAGTGGCTGGGCAGGGTGTCGAGGGTGCTGGAACAAACACTGATGAGCACAGTGGCTGGGCAGGGTGTCGAGGGTGCTGGAACAAACACTGATGAGCACAGTGGCTGGGCAGGGTGTCGAGGGTGCTGGAACAAACACTGATGAGCACAGTGGCTGGGCAGGGTGTCGAGGGTGCTGGAACAAACACTGATGAGCACAGTGGCTGGGCAGGGTGTCGAGGGTGCTGGAACAAACACTGATGAGCACAGTGGCTGGGCAGGGTGTCGAGGGTGCTGGAACAAACACTGATGAGCACAGTGGCTGGGCAGGGTGTCGAGGGTGCTGGAACAAACACTGATGAGCACAGTGGCTGGGCAGGGTGTCGAGGGTGCTGGAACAAACACTGATGAGCACAGTGGCTGGGCAGGGTGCCGAGGGTGCTGGAACAAACACTGATGAGCACAGTGGCTGGGCAGGGTGCCGAGGGTGCTGGAACAAACACTGATGAGCACAGTGGTGTCTGAGTACTGTAAGTTGACAAATTTTCGGCCCATTTCAATTTCGGCCTCCCAGAGCTAAAACTCATTTCGACCGCATTAATTTTTCGGCCTGTACTGCTGCTGCCTGTATACACTGTCACACCGCACCTTGCAGAACAAATTTTCGGCCTAACATAACCAGGCCGAAAATAGCTGAAAATAAATATGCGCCGAATATTTGCTGACTAACAGTCTAGGTTTTGAAACATGAACAAATAGAGAGCTGCTCAATGAAATCCAGTCGTGTCACTTAAGTCTGCGCCTTGCATCATACCGCAGCCCAGTGTTGGCAGGTCTATGGCTGCGCAAGGCCCGGCGCGTACTTGAGTGATGCGACTGGATTTCATTGAGCAATACTGTAGAAGGGCAGTAGTACAATAATGGTCTACATTACATTGTAGCTGAAGACGAGAGGCACTTGTGGAACTTTGATGTAGATGAACGTCTTGTTCTGGGATGCACGCGCCTGAAGTCCAGAGGAAGAGAGAGAGAGAGAGGGAGAGAGAGAGAGAGAGAGAGAGAGAGAGAGAGAGAGAGAGAGAGAGAGAGAGAGAGAGAGAGAGAGAGAGGGAGAGGGGGAGGGGGAGGGAGGGAGAGAGAGAGGGAGAGGGAGAGAGAGAGATAGATAGATAGATAGAGAGAGAGAGAGAGAGAGAGAGAGAGAGAGAGAGAGGGAGAGAGGGAGAGAGCGAGAGAGAGAGAGAGAGAGAGAGAGAGAGAGAGAGAGAGAGAGAGAGAGAGAGAGAGAGAGACAGAGAGAGAGACAGAGAGAGATAAAGAGAGAGAGAGAGAGAGAGAGAGATAAAGAGAGAGAGCAAGTGAAAGTGAAAGAGAAAGTGAGCGAGAGGGAGAGTGTTAAATTAAGAGAAAGAGAGAAAGAGAGACAGATGAAAAAGACAGAGAGAACCAGAACAGACCGAAACATCAAATATATCAGTATCCGTCAGAGTCCAGTCTTGCTCTTCTGCTGTGTAGTTCGGCAATACATTGTATCCAGTTTTAATTTATACAAACAGACAAACCGACAGACACATGCACACACCAGCAGACAGACATAAAGCATTAAAGGAGAGAGACATTTCATATGCCATGGCTGTGAATCGCAGGTCGCATTATACACATGCTCCATAGCGCATGGTTGGTTGTGCGTGGGCATTGTCTTTTAAGACAATGCCCACGCACAAAAAAAGCAGTACATCGACTGCACCCGGGCAGACATAATTGATGGAAAGTTAGAACATACCTTCATCGTCTCAATGTCGTCCTTAGCAGAGCGGTTACCGTGCGCTTTGTTACGACGACCGGATGACTATAGTGGCAGATGCACACACAGGCACACATACACACACAGACATACATACAGACACACACACAGATACACACACACAGATAGAGGCAATGACAGCCACATATAAAGACCATACCACCATGTACAGACACACAGACACACAGACACACACACACACACACACACACACACATACGTACATGTAGGCAGAGGCAGAGGCAGAGGTAGTGACACAGACACAGACACAGACCATACCACCATGTACAGCCAAACAGAAAACACACAGAACACAACAGCACACACACTCGTACACATCAACAATAGCTTACCCTTAGTTTGGCAGCGGCGTTCACGGGATCCTCGTCTTGCTTGCTCTTGCGCTTGCTGGACGACGGCTGACAAACGCAGACAAGAAGATAGACAAGACAAGCGGCATGTGAACAGACACGAGCACAGGCACATGAACAAACACATACATGTGCAGGCAAACACAAAAACACAGCAGACCGAGACAGACAGAATGTCACCCGTTCCCTTTTTTCACCTGTCCTAGCCTGCTTTCTTGTCTACAGGACACCAGGATATTAAAAAAGGTTCCGTTGACACATGAATGGTTGGGAAACATAGCGGGTTTTTTTCCATCACACCAGCTGAACATACTGAAGTATTTCAGCCTGCATGCATGCATGCATGGGTGCATGGCGAGTAATGCAATGAAGTAGAGACAAGTGGTTAAAACTTAATAGTGAGTCAGTTCCGCTTACCCGAGAGAAAGTGGAGCCAGATGAACGACTGGTCACGGAGAATGTAGACGGACGGTTCTGTATCTTCGCCAACACCGCACCCTGTGTGTGTTGCGTGGGACCACATGCACGCACACACGCACATGCACGCACACACGCACACACACGCACACCCACCCACACACCCACACACAAGTGCATACACACATTCAAAGTTAGCACCTCTCCCAGTTTTTCCCCAATAGCATGCCCTACCAATAGTTACACAGAGACACACAGCACACAGAGTAGGCCTTGGCGGATAATGCTCGAAAAGGTGGCAGATTCTGCTTTTTTTGCACCGAAATTGGCAGAACCATACAAACCTTATGGCGGGCAATTCCTCGAATTCTGCTCCATTTCTTTATCCACATACCAAACATGCATGAAACTTACCAGAAAAAGTACCGAATTCTGCCAATTTTTCTGCCGGCATTATCTGCCAAGGCCTAACACAGAGCCTCACAGCACACAGCCATACAGCATATGCGAGCTGGGTGTGTGACTTAATATTTTAAAAGTATAAAAAAGCAAGAGCCATGATCCAGCACGCAAATACATGCGTAGAAACATGCATGTCCCAGTCACAGACATACAGAGGACGAAACTCCCAAACTTGACAACTCACATCGGCATCATTATCCTCCATGTCCAGCTGCGAGGAGGTGGAATCCGTCAGGTTAGCTGCTGACGGGGCCGCCAACATGCTTGTAGATGCAGCCACTGTTGAGGCATGCGACTGTGATGAGGCAATACCACCGGCTGCGAGAAATCATAATGCACAGATTCATATTAAGTGATGTAACACCGAGAGTACGGTGTTTCCCCGAGTACAAGGCACACCTTTTTACACAAAAATTAAAGGGTAAAAAAGGGGGTGCGACATACAATGTGACGATGATAGCAACAAGACTAAAAGCAAGAGCAAAAGCAAGACCAAGCGCAAGAGCAGCCGTACAGCGTATAAAGACTCACGCGTAAAAGCTGCAGCTGACGACGAGGATGGCTGTGGCTCGGGGACATCCTCCTCAAAGAAGAACTGGCGCATTCTCTCATAGAAGCGGCTGGTGACTCGGACCGTCAGTGGTACGACATTGACTTCGAAATGTTCCTTCACAGATATGCCGCCCACTGCACAACACCCATACACATACACATCATTGGAAAGGAGAAACTGGTTTACCGAAATTTTCGCGCTACCGAATTGTTGATTTTGGGAAATATCGTAAATATTACATCACCGCAAATTCCCGGTTTTACAGTATCACCTACCTGGTGCCTGCTCGACAAGCAGAACACGCAATGACTTGCTTCTCTCCACCTTGACATTCTCCTGAGAAGGCTTCAAGGCATCCTGCACATGCACACACACACGTACACGTACACGCACGCGTGCACACACACACACACACGCACTGATGGTGAGCCAGGCAAGAAATTGTGAAATTTTACTTCTACCATATTGGTACTACCACGAGTATATAACCCCCCTCTTGGTACTACTTGTATCGTCCATTCAGCAAATCGGGGGTATGCGTGGCATGTGTGGATCATTCCCTGGCTCTAGGTCATGTCAAGAGCCTTCACACGCACATAAAGATCCACAGCTGCACAACAATGATCTAGCTTGTTGTCCCATTTCTCTTCTGCCTGCGTGGTATCATTGCTCCATCCGTGTGGTGTTCAGCACTCTAGGGAATCTGGGAATTCTCACTATTGTCAAGACCCACTGCTGTACATGATCAAGGAAAGCAAGCAGTAGCCTGCCTGCCTGCCTGCCTCCAGCATGCTGCTACAGGGGGGTCGGTGTGGCAATCATTTTATCCTGCGATTTCTCAAGCAATGGAACATGGCCTATTTGGGCCCAAGTTCCCTTAAAAAATACCCCCCCCCCCCCCCCGGCCCTGCTCGCCTTTTCATGGTTGTACAGTCAGACCTCACTTATCCGGTCCTCTTTTATCCGGATCCCTCGCCATCCGGAAGAAAATCGTTGGCTACCGATTTACAGCATATGTCATGCATACATACAGTATGTGTGTTCGATTATCCGGTTCCCTCGCCTACTCGGATATTTTTTTGTGGAAAATGGATGTGTGCGGTTAAGCGAGGTCTGACTGTACCAATGTAGAATATCTTCCGACACCCTCGTGGCAAGACGATAATGCGATCACCTACTTTGTAAATCTCATCCGGCAATAGTGGCAGGAGGTTTTGCACTGAGAACCAGCCAAGGTCGAAACGATGTGAGCCTGACACATCCGTCTTGGCCACTTTCACATAGCTGCACGTGAACAGACACAGCGCAAACACAAACACATCAGACACAGCGCAAACACAAACACATCCTGACCAAGGACATGTGCATGGTTGTACAGCACTGGCCAAAGACATCCAACCTCATGAATAAAAGCTACGCAGCCCTAGCACTACACACACTGGTCTGTGCACTCAAACGCGGCGCTACTTTAGTCATGAGGTTGGATTTCTCTGACCAGCACTGTACATAATCTGCAAACATACAGAGAGACAGACCATGACACGGAGACACAGACACACATAGATACGCTGATACCCCCCCCCCCCCCCACACACACACAACTACACGTTGCACTCACAGGAAGTTGTTGAGAGAGACCTTGGCCAACTGGAGCTGGCCATCGGTCTGCATGATGGTCCAGGTGCTGTTATCCAGCCAGACCTCAATACGTAACTCCACACTAGGTGAATGCTTTGCGCTGTCATCACCATCTGAGAAGCAGTGGAAACACACATGCACACGCACACATGCACACACACACGCACACACACACACACACACACACACACACACACACACACACACACACACACACAGACAGACACACAGACAGACAGACACACACACATCAGGAGAAAAATTATAGTGACTACAGCGGCAGTGTCAGCAGCAGCTGGTAAATTCACAAGGAGCACACAGGAGTGGGTGCAAATACGTAAGGGAACCGTGGGGAAAGACAGGTGGAAAGCAGGTGGAAAGCAGGTGGAAAGACAGGTTGCAAGCGGGCCTGACACATTGCAATCGAAGAGCTCCATGTTATGTCTGTCTTGATTTTGTAAAACCTGGCCGAATTTCAACTTGCAACCCTTTGATTTTTCCGAAAATGCACCGTTTCGTACTATTAACGTCCCTATGATTTCATTTCACGTCAGCTACTTACCGGACGAATCGAGTCCAAGCTGGCTAGCGCGGAAAGAACTGGACACAAACACACACACACACACACACACGCACACACGCGCGCACAAACGAGCACCCAGAAGTACGAGCAACCGCACGCAAGTCGCTCACATTCTTGCCGTATATAATTATGGCCTATTTGCAACAGAAGGTAAAACTGGATTTGAAAGCAGGTCTGTATTCTGAATGCTGGCAATAGTACACACGTGCTGTCACTACAGCTTGAAGCAGTCCCAAAAATATGAGTAAGATAAGAGAATTAATATAGCTACAAGGAGTACTAATTGTACTGTAATCATTTCCTATCTGACGACATGTATGTGTAACATGTTATACGATGATCGCAAGGCACACAACGAAAGGGAAAGAGAGCAATTATACCGACATATGCAGGCAGATGCAGGCAGGCGCAGCAAATCCCTAGGCACCATTCTTACTTGATCGTAACTCGCAGGTCCAGACTTCTCTCCGTCAGCTCAGCCTTTGCCTCAGCTATCTCATTCTCCAGTGCAAACAGCTGCAGCTGCAAACTGAAAGGAGGAACACACACACACACACACACACGCGCACGCACGCACGCACACACACAGACAGACAGACACAGAAACACACAGAGGCACACGTACACACAGACACGCACACCAGTGGTGACAACTGAAATCCAACCCCAAGCTCACATTGCAAAAGACCCAGCATGCACTTATAACACCACTACAGTCCGTTTCAAAACAAAAGACGCGTAGTGTTTTTGAAATATTTCAAATTTGGCTGGACCGTTTTGAGAATAGTTTTCGGAATATTGCTCAGGTCCGCTCCACAATTACTCTCATATAGTTTCTAAACGATTGGATAACAGACGCCCAATTTGGAAAAATTTATGCACAAAGTGATCACAGATTTTATGTGGTATAGATGCTGGCATAACGGTTTTTGCCTAGGGACGCGTCTATAGTTTTGAAATGGACTGTAAATAGAGGCCGCTAGAGTCGGTGCTGCACTCGAGCACGAAAATCAGGGGTCGGATTTCAGCTGCCACCACCATAGGTGTCTACTGGAATGTTACTGTAAAACCGGGAATTTTCGGTGCTGTAATGTTCTCGGTATTCCCAAAATCAACGGCTTGGTAGCGCGAAAATGTCGGTAAACTGATTTTCCAGATTCAAAAATGCATTTTGCACACTGTGTGGCATGGCATGGTTGAATTTTAGGTTGCGTTTTATTTTAGGTAAAATTTACTTCTTGAAGTACTTGTACCGAATCTACCGAAAATAAACGTCCACCGAAATTTTCCGGTTTTACAGTAGATGTTATACTCCCAGATTCTTACCTGGCAAGAACTTCCTCGACTTCGCCTACCCTGGTCATTTCGACGTCATTGAGCACGCCCCCGGGTGCAGAGCTGAACAAGGTCAGTCGCTGTTCAATCAGATCATCCATGTCCTGCAGCAGTCCGTAGGCGTTACGATCCAGGCCACGTACAAGCTCCAGCTGATCCCTGCAGCCGTGAACATGACATGACATACATGCACGCATGCATGCACGCACGTACACGCACAATGTTCCCTATTCAGTTCATGGGCATCAGGAGACTGACTGCATTATCCTTCTCTTCTAAAGTACTACCACATCTTGTGATATGAGTGACCCGTACACACACAAGCAACACTTCCCTCCACATTCGGAATTGAAGAGAGGACGAGTTGTCACGGAAACATGTGGTGTCATATAAATACACCTGTTTACAAAGTCATCCCCGAACAGCAAGAGAATTCAACTCAAGATTAGCTTGCGTCCACTTGACGTGGTGTTCGTACTCCGTAGGTAATATTGTAGTGAATTCAACACTGGGTCTTAGTTTTTTTAAAACCTTGCAGCTCCATACACATTGGGCAGGGACATTTTAATGCCCCAAAGGCAGGGTACTACAACCCCTCTGGAGAACGGGATACTGTAATTTCACAAATTTTCGGTGTACTTATATTTTCGGTACTTTCGGTGCATCTGTTTCATACCTAAAATTTCAATACACCGAACAACTACTATCACACATAATCCAATAGGGAACTGCTTCTCTGTACCTAAATTTTCTGTTCACCTAACCTTGCCTTTTGCCCTCATACCGAAAATATTGAGCCCCGAAAATTTCTGAAATTAGAGTACCATACCTGACCGCTCGTTGTTTCTCCATGACTGGTGTACGCTGGTCGATAATGTTACTCAACTCCAGCTCAAAGCGCTTGTTTTCACACCGATCAGCTAACTCCTTCTTCTTTGGGTCAACGTAGAATAGCAGTTTGGTGATGATGTTGATCACAAGTTTGAATTGATCCTAGCCACGAAGAGATCAAGAATAGCCAAACAGACAGACAGCCAGTCAATGACAACAAGACAATTCGAAAACACCTGCACTTACATACATACACACATGTTGCCTGATGATCGTAGTAATACGTGAAACTCAGAGTTGTAACAAAGCTTCCAATCTCTCTCTTGTGTACAAGGCTCTGCCCTACATGGGTATTGAGCACTCTTCAGACAGTGAAGCACACCACTTGACTACATACACACACACGCACACACGCAACCCCCCCCCCCCCCCAACACGCACACATGCACACACGCATCCACGCCTACATGGACATGGTGAAGTTCTCTTTAGTTTTAACTTAACGCATCTACATGTACATGGTGCACTCACTGAGTTTGTGGCAATGTCCAGTTTTGGATAAGAGATTGTGAACGTGTCCACTGGCTCATCCTCAGCTAGTGACGTGTTCAACGAGAAACTCTACACATGTATGACACATGCACACGTGCACACAGACACACATACACACGCATGCACACATACACACACACATACACACACGCACACATACACACAAACATGTGTTGACACAAACACCAGTGTGCACCCATACGCACATACACATACAAACCAATGGGCAGGCAGACAGGCAGACAGGCAGACACACACAGAGACAGACAGATAGACGGACGCACAGACAGACAGACATCCATCCACACAGAGCGAGAGCGAGCGAGAGAGAGAGAGAGAGACAGATGGACAGACGGACGGACAGATGGACACGCGCACACCCCAACCAGATGCATGTAGGCTGTGATGAGGCACATGTGTACGTACTTTGAAACAACATAACACAGGCAAAACATGGTGAAATGACCAGTTGGTCCCAGCAACCACGTGGCCTGTAGAATATGCAACGATACCTCTGGTTTCAGGCAGCGGCAACCAGATTTAATCATACTTTAAAAAGAGTACATATTCACGATGCAATTGTCACCTTCAATACGCGGAGTCTCCACTGGAGCCAATCAATCATGTTTCAATCTCCTTCTTCGTACTCCCCGATGAACTACTCCCTGATGAAGACCCAGGGGCGAACATTTGAAGGGAAAATTTGGAGAGATATTTACGACGATTGCGGTGTAAGACCGTGGGGATGAAGAAGGATATTGAAGCAATTGTCACCCACTGAATAAACAGCGGGAGGAGGGGAGGTATGTGAGGCTTACCCTGCGTAGCTCTGCGGGATATCCCCGACCAGGCGCAGTCCCTTCCACTCTGGGTATGTGTGCTGGGTCCGGCTGGCCGCCAAAGCTAGCGTAGTGTACTTGACATACACACCTAGTCAACAATATCCACAGAGATACACACACACACACACACGCACGCACGCACGCACGCACGCACGCACACACGCACATTGGTTAAGAACCAAGGCATCTGAGAAACCCCAGCCTCCTAGTCCTACACAGTGGACCGTCCCCCCCCCCCCCCCCTCAGTGTGCACACATACTATTAAATTTTCAAAGAACACTGCAACTTTGGTGCATAATTATGTTGATCAGATGCAAATACCCAAAACAGAATGGTGACGGGGGTCAGGGGATATTCTATTTTTGGCACCTTCAACACATTTGGTGATGGGAGCAGGGGCAGTAGATGGTCCATGCTGCTCTAGTCTAGGACCTAGGAGCACTGCCCAGTACCGCACTGCTGAGGATACTCCTGCTAATGGAGCGACGACGCGTACCAGCTAAGGGCCCGGTCCCACATGCACTTGAGACTTGCGGATCCGCTGCAGCGGTGTCGCAACAGCGTGTATCACCATGGAAACTGCGAAAATTCAAATCCGCTACTCCATACTCTCTTGCGGAAGCTCGGACACAGTGAGCGATTTTAATTGTTGTTTGATTTCACTTTCGATAATGAAGTGGACAATTGAATCAGAGCAGCTACTGCTGCAGTTGTACGTTGAAGTGAAGACTCGCTTTGACAAAAGAATGGAGAGGGACACGGAGTGGTACAGGTGGATGGCCGAAAAGCTGAAAGAGTCCGACGTGGAAGCCACCTGGAAACAGGTGAAGGACAAGGTTGCAGCGATAAAGAAAACGGGCAACAAGAAGGTAAAGGAGTTTGTTCTCCCCATCATAAATAAAAAGGACAGGACTGGAGCTGCCACAGATGGAGACGAGGACTTCAACGACGAGATCAACTGGGAAGATGTCCTCTGAAAGCGAAATGGCCTCTGCTTCGCATCTACTTTGAAATGTTCCGCGACCATCCCATGATGGGTTTGCAGTTCGGCAACGACACTGCAGACTCCGATAGCGCAGTGACAGTGATGCTGCTGATGGTGAAGCTGAGGAGAGAGTGGAGTGCGTTTTTGTGCCCAACAACACTGACTCAGAGTCCCCCTGCATCCAATGCCGGTGGATTTGAACTTGATGACACCTCTGCAGATGAAGATTTTCCAGCAGTTCCACTGCAACCTGCAGCCCCGTGTGAAGCCCAGCGTGCAGCATTGCCAGCAGCTCAGCCTGCAGCCCAGCCTGCAGCCCAGCCTGCAGCCCAGCGTGTGGAGTTGCTAGCAGCCCAGCCTACAGCCCAAGCAGCAGCATTACCACCAGCCCAGCTTGCAAGGGCGCAGCAAGTAGCTGCTGCTGCTGTTGGTGGTGATGAGGCAGTTCACCAGGAAGCAACACCAGGTAGGGCTGCAGCCCGCCCATTGCCTTCGCGAATTGTGCCAAGGACACCAGCAAGGGCGACCCATCAGCAGCAGCAGCAACAATTTCTCGCTGCTTTTGCAGACATTGTGCAAGCACAAACACAGCAAAACCTTGCGATTCAGGTAAGCGCCATACACGCCTATAATTATTATGTCAGTAGCAACCTCATGTCATCGTTCCTCATCAGTGATTTCAGTTCGTACTGAACGGCATTTTCACTTACAATTAAATAAACAAAAATTGCCTACACTGAATGAGAGGCACTCTTGCTGCCGCAGTCTATCCCGACGTAGACTAGTTACACAATCAACCAGACACTGAACCAGACACTGAACTTATACCACATGTAGTACCTTATTAACCTAAGAAGGTACCAGTCTGCATGGTAATGAGTCAAAAGGAATTATCACTCTCCCCTCATTGAAGGGCGGCCAGCTCGGCCTGTCGCACAGCCGCATCATGATCTTGACAAAGTGAAGGTGGCTGTCCTATGGAAACTTAAAGAATTATTTATGTTTGCATCTCTTTGTTTTCTTGTTCTCATGACTATAGTCCCAGCTGCAACAACAACAAGATTTTGAAGCTAGGCAGAGGCAAAGAGATGAAGAGAGAGCAAATGCATCACAGAACCGACAAGAGCAGTTTCAGCTCAACATCCAGCAAAGTTTGATGACATTCCAAGCTACGCTCATGAACAATATGTTCGGTGGCAATAGGACAAGGCGCAGGGAAAGTGACAGTGAGGCAGATTGAGCAGGACAATGGAATAAGTCACTCAACGTTGCTGCCGAGCACAGAGGTGCATGAATGTGACTTAACATTGTATGAATGCGTGTAGCCCGCTTTCCTCATCCCTCTCCCCTACCTCCCTTTTTCAAGATACAGTAAAACCTGTAACTAAAGACCACCGTGATTTGCGACCAGCCTGGTGCTACCGAGCACTTCGTCAGGCACGGGCGGTCTCATATTCATATAATAGTTTATGGCTGTGCGGTGCAGACCACTAACTAAGGACCACCTGCCACTAAAGACCGCTTTCCGCTTTCTCTGGCCCCAAGGGGTGGTCGTGAGTCACAGCTTTTACTGGACATGATAGTATTGGTGCATTTAGTACACACTCTCAGTATAAATCCGAGACCCCAAGTTGGCCGAGTGCACCACTTCCCACCATTCCACCATTCTAACAAGATTGGAGCCGATGGGCAATTGTAAAAAAAGTTCTGCCATCGAGAGGACATATTTCAACATACTTATTCAGACTTTTCCCGTTTGCAACTTCGCCACAAAACTTCAAATGTAATGAATAACTATCTCAGGATTTCTCTTGGTTAGCGACATGAAAATGTTAACGAATTCTGTAGAATTAGGTGACCAGCTTTTCCTTCACATACGGTGTGTGCTCTAGAGCCTTTTCGGTGTAATCTAAATTTAGGTGCCTGGTTTCGCTACCGAAATTACCGAAATTGAAAATACACCGCATATAACGTGTTACACGGTATACACATGGCTGACAGTTGGCCAGACAGTGCTTAGTCGCCAGTCGGTCAGCCAGGTGAGAATACAGTCAGAACTCGCTTAGCTGCGCACATCCGTTTTCCACAAACATATCCGGATAGGCTAGGGAACCGGATAATCAAACACACGTACTGTATGTACGCATGACGTATGCTGTAAATCGGTAACCAACGATTTTCTTCCTGATGGTGAGGGATCCGGATAAAAGAGAACCGGAAAAGCGAGGTCTGACTGTACCAGAACCCCGGCGGCAGCTTCCGCTACCTGGACCATGATTATCTGACTGTTCCAGAAGCCCGGCAGCTTGCGCCACCTTGGCCATGATCCTCTTACCTGGTGATCAGCCTCTGCATGGGCATGCTGGATGGTGCCGTCTCCATGGCAATGGGATTGAGCCGGCTGGCGACCGGGCTGATGACGGTGGTTACCATGGCACCAAGCTTGTTGCTCGTGGCAACGTACGTGCCGCCCAGCAAGTCGCTGATGTCCAGATTGCCTTGTTTCGGCGCAGAATGCCGTTCGCTGGACCTACGTAAGTGGATAAGGAAAGAAAACGAAGCAATTAAATTAATGGAAACAAGGAAAACGGCAGGGCACAAGTTATACGTTTAGAGTCCACCAAATCAACCAGATTATGAACAGTCAGACGTGCACAAGGTAGCACCAGACTGACAGCGAGTACTGAGACATTCCACGGCAAGGAAGTGAGCTTGAGCACTGCTCTTCCTTGTTTCCATTTAATATTGTCCTTGGCTCACCATCTGAGTACTTAAAAACAAAGCAACAGTATACTCGAATTGCAGAAATTTTCGGTGCTCAATATTTTCGGTATGAGGGCAAAAGGCCAGGTTAGGTGAACAGAAATTTTAGGTACAGAGAAGCAGTTCCCTATTGGATTATGTGTGTTAGTGTTTGTTCGGTGTATTGAAATTTTAGGTACGGAACAGATGCACCGAAAGTACCGAAAATAAAAGTACACCGCAAATTTGTGAAATTTAAATACAGTAATTTACAAGAGGCCTACCTAGCACAGTGTTACTGCTTGCACTAGTAAATCCGATGGCATGAATCAAGTTTGCACCTTGCACTAGTTCACATCCCAGGGTTCACAGGTCTAGGGCTGCACGGGGTGGCATTCGCTGCACGGGGTGGCATTCGCTGGCTCGATCGCATTTCAATGAGCAGCACTGTGGTATCTTTCCCAGTTCACCTTGATCCCGCCTTGATCCCGCCTTGATCCCGCCTGTAACACCAATGCTACAACACTGTACATCCACTCCTATTGAATAGGGATTTAGTTGCAGGGAGACACACGGACCACACGACAATGGCGTGACTGTGGTGCCAAAATGACCCCCCCCCCCCCACCACACACACACGCACAGACACAGACAGACAGACAGACAGACAGACAGACAGACAGACAGACAGACAGACAGACACAGACACACACCCATTAACCATACCATATCCCCACACAACTCTATGCCATTCCCGCCGCCATACACGCCATACTTACATAGGGTCGTGGCCTGAGTTGGCCACTGCCGATGCCGGCAGCCATGCCGATTTTCCCGTGATGCTCTCGACGGAGGCAAAGTACTGCATGTCGTTGATCAGGCTGGTCCAGGTTGTCTTGGCGACCAGCTCGCCGTGCTTCATGACGGGCGTGTGCACGTGTGCCATGATGACGGCGCTAGACGTGGTCACGGCAACGCAACCGTCCACCGTCGGCGCCCGGAACACCACTTGTGCGTTGACAAACTCAACTGGGTGGCGAGGGGTGAGGGGACACACATGAACAGCAGGAATGGGAGATGTTGATTAGGCACACGACGAGCAACGTCGGCCCAGGGTGGCATTGCGGGACTAAGGTAGTGTGGTGCGTTTGTCATTGCTCTACCCAGTCTGACAGTAGAAGTAGAGGCCACGCTGCAAGCCCAACACGGACACCCAAAGGAGTTAGCAAAAGCGATGGTGTGGTGATGTACCCCTCTTTGGGTCATTACCCCCCCCCCCCCCTCTCGGTGAAAGTCATTGACATGAAGTTACACGCTATGAGGTCACAAGCAAAATTGCAAGACTGTCAAGCAAACTGCCCCTTCAATACGTGTAATCTTTTCACAAACGTCTGAGAGCATGTTTGACTGGCCACTCAGCTCCGGTGGTCGCTTACGGCCCAGTGGCACTTACCAAGCCAGGAAAGTTCACGCAAATCATCCGACCTGCATAGCTTGTGGCCAAACAAGACGGGTGTCCCTTGCTCTCCGCGATCCTACGACAAGTAGGCATCGGGGCACACAGACACACAGACACAGAGATACACCCAGACACACCGGCACAGATATACACAGAGATACACACACAGAAACACACACACACAGACAGGCAGACAGACAGACAGATAGACGTAGACAGACACACCCAGACACACCCAGACACATAAACACAGAGATACATACAGACACCCAAACACACACACATACACACACACAAAGACACACACAGACACTAATAGACGTGAAACACACAAACACAAACAAACGTGAAAACACACACAGATTGAGAGGGGGTGGATGGGTTGAATATCCTGTAGTTGGTGCAAGTCAGCTTAAATCTCCCTGGCCTTCGGGTAATCTTGGAAAAGTTGACAGGTCAAATACAAGCGACTGAATGTCATGCCCTGCCAACTTTTCAACAATTTTTCTTGTAAGCTCGTTAGTCTCTCACACGTGCACACCAACACATACGTACGCACACATGCACGCATGCACACGCGCACACACACACGCACACACACACGCACACACACAAACACATGCACCACCCCCCCCCCCCCCACACACACACATACACAAACTAACCTCATCAGCAACCGCAGTGAACTTGGTATCCTTGTCATTAATGAGTTTCTCAAGCAGTGGAAAGCTTGGTGATGAAGACATGGAAGCGGTGGCAGTAGCAGCAGCAGCCGCAGACCGTCGATGGTGAGAGGATGAACTAGATAAGTTGCTGCCTGTGCTAGAGTAACTACCTCTACGTCGTGATGCTGTTGTTGATGATGATGATGACGACGAGGATGATGCATTCGGTGTACTCGTCAGAACACTCTGCTTGACAAGAACAACGTACACACATACACAGACACATTCATACACAGACACAGATATATACACAGACACATATACATACACAGACACAGATATATACACAGTCAGACACACTCACACACACATACAGGCACACACACAGACACCCCTCCCCCCCCCCCCCACACACACACGCACGCACGCACACACCCACCCACACATCATACCTTCATACCACACATACATACACACATACACGCATATATACAGGTACAGACAAAGACACAGACAAACAAACAACTCAGCAGAAGCTTGGTTCTCCAATCGATGACGTGTCAGCCGAGGTCCAGCTAGAATATTCAATTAAAAATACAACTGGATACAACCGAGCCTCACAACAGGAGCAAGACTTGACTATCACGGAAAACGACGATCAACTACCCCACTTCAATCTAATATGCCACCGCCCCCGCTGTACAGCATCTGACGGTTCTGTGGTATGAAGTAAAAAAAGTAAAAAAACAGTTTTTAAAAAACTCACCGAGGAATCCCTCGCTGCTGTTGGATCCTGATCGGCGGTGGCCTCGCGATCCCGGCCACGACGAGCGCCATCCGCCTCATCACAATCATCGCCATCGTCCTCATCACTCCCACCACTGTCATTATCAAGTGCACTGCCCGCGTTTAGATCATCATCTCCACGGAGACCAATGAGAGACTCGGCCGACAGGTCTGCTTTGAGAATGTTGGACTGAGCGTAGCTGTTGTACAGGCCAAACACAACCAGGCGATTGGCAAACGTCCACAGTGCCTTCAGATCCTCTACAAGCAAGCGATGCGTGTAGCATTTGTCTTCGGAGTCCTGCACCTGCTTGCACTTAGCATCGTCTGCGTGCTCGTACTCCATCCTGAACATAGGCAAGGGGACAGGTAGAGAGAGAGAGAGAGAGAGAGAGAGAGAGTATGTGAGTGAGTGAGTGAGTGTGTGTGTGTCCGCACTATTCCAGTTTGTGTATTTGTGTGGTATAACACAAACAAAGAGAAGTAGAGGTAACAGCAGCAGCAGCAGCAGCAGCAGCAGCAACAGCAGCAGCAACACTACACCAGTCCCAACATCAAGCCATGCGCATACTTAGCAACGCTGAGCAGCTCGTGCCGTTCTGCGAAGTTGTCCGGGTTGGACGCTTCCACCGACGCCATCTAAGCACACAGCAAGCACACATAGTAGGACACATTGAAACAGCTGTCTTTCTGGGACTTGGGTGCTGTTATCCCAACTGGTACGGTGACTCAATTTCCTTATTTCGCTGATTGATGGTCAAAAGTGTTTCTCGCATTTTTGTCAATCAACCCCGGCGATAGCCTAAGGCTCACATATCGGAGTATTGAACTCCTACAATTTCTCTACATAGCCTACATACAGAAACAGATTCCTTTTCTTCATTTTATGTGAATGACTTTCCAAAGGCAAGTATATGCCTATCACGGGAATCTCAAGGGTAATAACACACCATATGACATCATTGTGCATCATTTATCACGTACTATGACATCATCGATGCTCGTTCACAACTCACCATGCTGATTGTCTGGCTACTTTCATACGTATCCATGGCAACACCATCGACCACAGCCTTGGCGCTGCGAATGTTAAAGACGGCCGCTGGCCGCCGGATCAGAGGAGGAGATTGATTTTGCTGCTGCTGGTGGTGGTGATCGGTATCGTCAGATACAGTGGATGCCGTCTGCAGAATACACCCGACACAACAACAACAAACAAACAATTCACGGTTTGCATTGCACTCAGTTACACTGAGTAGAACTCATCCGTAGGAACACCACCACCCCTAAAGGATCAAAGCGCAGATGCAGCTACTAAACCGGTGGGAGGAGAGTAGATCAGACCCACCACTAAACACAAAAACAAACAACGGAAAGGGCATACACATGTGTACAAGTCGCTCAATGCCACTCTCACCATGTCGCGCACAATAACACAAGAGATCGTTTCGAAACACCACCTTGCCCATCTTGTACTCTCGCATCTCCGCTAAAGGGTATGGAGAAGAGGAGGCGGTGAAGACAAGGCACTTCTTCGTAGACGTCACTGTGCATTGGAGCTAGCTGATATGCCGATGAATGCCTCAAGTAGCGTGCCTGGTTGTTGCAATATCTACCATTCACCACCAGCTTAAATTGGTGGACTACGGGTAATTGTGCCCGAAGTAGACGCCGCGTTGGAATAAGTATGCTGTCCATGCCCCACTGACAGAGCAACAACACAACTATGCTGTCCATGCCCCACTGACAGAGCAACAACACAACTATGCTGTCCATGACCCACTGACAGAGCAACAACACAACTATGCTGTCCATACCCCACTGACAGAGCAACAACACAACAATGCTGTCCATGCCACACTGACAGAGCAACAACACAACAATGCTGTCCATGACCCACTGACAGAGCAACAACACAACAATGCTGTCCATGCCCCATTGACAGAGCAACAACACAACAATGCTGTCCATGCCACACTGACAGAGCAACAACACAACAATGCTGTCCATACCCCACTGACAGAGCAACAACACAACAATGCTGTCCATGCCCCACTGACAGAGCAACAACACAACAATGCTGTCCATGCCCCACTGACAGAGCAACAACACAACTATGGCAGTGCCTTGACTGACAGAAGCGATGCAGAAAAAGTTGAGAAGGCCATCGTGGCGGGTTTGGCATGGAGTTCCCATCCAAATTATACACTATCTCACTGTTTGTGTATGCCGTGAAGTCTTGTATAAAAGCCGCCCTCGAATAGAAGCCGCCCTCGAATAGAAGCCGCAATTTTGGGCCCATCAAATCACACATAAGCCTGGTTTAAGTGTTGACATACATAGAAATACCTGTCTTGTATAGAAGCCTGTCTCATATAGAAGCCTGCAAAATTTCACCAAGAAAGTCATAGAAGCCGCGGCTTTTATACAAGACTTTACGGTACATATATATTGCAACTGATATTATAATATGTGCTTATAGATCATGTATGCAGTTGAATGTTATTTTCTTCCAATAATTTATATCCTTTTTCTTTCTTCTTTCCTTTCTTTTCATTGCCATGGCTGGCTAACACCCCTCCCTTTGCATTGGTCGCTGCCATTGGACGGTGAATAAAATACTTTAAGAAAAAAACAACTCACAGCATCATTGTTGTTGCTGCTGGTACTGGCACCCTCGTCCTGTTCAGATGCCTGCAACGGAACACACAAGGAGACAAAGAACCCAATAACAAGGGAGGACGAAAGAAAAAGAAAGAAAGAGGAGAGAAACGACGATGAATGCAGCACACCAGAAGAGACAACAACAAGACAGTATTTCTGATACAGGGATAAGAAAGATCAGAGCTACATCTGACGCTTGATCGTTCAGGGTGGTGATGGAGCGGTGACGGGTGCAAAGCAGGACTATGACACACGCCATGTAATGGTATTGTTTACTGCAACATTATAATCTATAGGAAGTTGTTTCACAGCAGAGAAACGAGTTCGATAGTGTTGCAGAGTGAATGGGACAAAACGGGTCTGCTCAAAAACCACTTCCTATGAATGAAGCTGCAGGAAGCCTCACCACTACTACTAAATAATATGCAGTGCGTATCGGTTATACTGTGGTCGTGTAAAAGAATATACTGCCTACAAGAATGAACTCTCATGTTTTCATATGATTATGAAAACATGAGAGTTCATTCTTGTAGGCAGTATATTCTTTTGGTCCTAAGAATGGACTTTGTGTAGCGAAACATGCCAGATTAGTACAAAGTGTATCGCCTGTAGTAATAACATCTGTCCAATGCAGTTCTGATCCGACTCGCGTTGCGTCGTAGTGCTGCAGATTCAACTGTTGTGGTAATGTAACTCGTGTTGCATAGCCACATGGTAAGCCTATGGGACTATGACCAGCCGCATTCACAGTAGCACTACCCTGCATGTAAGATGATCTTCTTGGCTCTGCGCACATGCATATGATATGTCACACTTGATTTATCGTGTGTAAGAAATATCGGAAATAAGAATAGAAAGTCGTTTTTCAACCACCCACGCTACAACCGATACCTACTGTATATCTATGCCATTTTTTGAAAAGAAACTACCACAATGTACAATGTACCACAATGCACACATATATACATGTATGTCATGGCGATACCAGACTACGGTGACTTAGAACTGCTGCAGAGTGCAGAACAATGCTTATCTCGGACATTGCTGAGAGAGTGAGAGAGTAAGAGAGTGAGAGAGAGAGAGAGAGAGAGAGAGAGTGAGAGAAAGAGTGAGAGAGAGAGAGAGAGAGAGAGAGAGAGAGAGAGAGAGAGAGAGAGAGAGAGAGAGAGAGAGAGAGAGAGCTACTCCTGCAGTGACTAAAATTCATGGAAGTGCGTTGTCGCAAAGCTACCAGAAATGAATGACCCGCAAGCTATTACAGGCTCGCAGAAGAATCCTAATAGAGGAAATCTTGTGGGAGATCCATTCAAACTCACTTCAATGATGGAAGACAAGCTATGAGAGTCTGCATTGGAAGTGGCAGTGCCGCTATTGGCTCCCGCGGTTGCCGCTGCTTCTTCAGTGCTTCCGACAATGTTGATAAACGTGGTGATAGTGCCAAAGTGTGCTGATATAGCGCGTAGGCATGCATAGCTGTTCCAGTAGAGCAGGTGCAGAGATGGTGCCTTGCCCTGTATGTGTACGTGTCTATACACAAATACACCAACAGAGTGCATGTGTACACACACACACACATGCACACACACACGCACGTGCACACACACATATACACACACACACACTCACACATGCACCCACACGCGTGCACACACACACACACACACACACACACACACATACACACACACACACGCACGCACACACACACACGCACGCACACACACACACCCAAGAGAGAACATAGTTTTAAACTGAAAGACATTCAAGGAATTGGATTGAAACTGAAAGACAGACTCCAGAATTTGACTGAGGGGCGATTCGATGGACGAATCAAATACAACTGAGCTAGGGAAAGATGGACAGTGTGTGCATGCATGTGTGTACTTCGAAGTAAGAAAAAAAAGAGATCGACATTGATGACAACAAAGGAGAGAGAGGGAGAGAGAGAGAGTTAGAGAGAGATAGAGAGAGAGAGAGAGAGAGAGAGAGAGAGAGAGAGAGAGAGAGAGAGAGAGAGAGAGAGAGAGAGAGAGAGAGAGAGAGAGAGAGAGGAGAGAGGAGAGAGAGAGAGAGAGAGAGACAGAGACAGAGAGAGAGAGAGAGAGAGAGAGAGAGAGAGACAGGGAGAGAGAGAGAGAGACAGACAGACAGTACATCACCCTAATATCTCACTTGATGAATCTCGACAGCGCTGGCTTTCTAGGCTTCGTGTTGTTGAAGAGTTTCCCGCGGCGAATAGGTGTGTTGGCCATTAGCAGTACCACCTTATGTATGGTCACATAGAACACAGCAACACACACACACACATCTGTAGTAC